TATATATTATGTTTTTGAGGTTGGCTGCATGTTGAGATACCTGTACTTAATATTAAATAATATTATGACGTATATATACTATAAATTTAAAACTTTGTCTTTGTGTTCTACATAATATTTTATATCTTTAGAAATTGAGCCAAATTCATATAAAGGTATGATTTTTCTCCTGTTTTGAGTAACTATTCTATTGATAAAACAGTTCCCTTCAGATCAAGACTACAAGGAAACGAGTAAAAAACGTGAGTTGAAAATCCAATTTAAAACGAAATGAGTGCAAAAATATTTGTACTGATTATTGTAAGAGTAATATTTCAAAACCCTACGAACAGTCGAAAATTCGAAATGGGAATAATGGAAGAAATAACCAGGATTTTCGTACGGAATCATGGGGAAGAGACAAAATAGGGTGGTTCCAATTTTATTATTAGGAAATCATGTAATGAGTGCTGAAAAAGATGCAAATAGTCCCTCGAGAGATACTAAGAATACGGAACGAACTCGATCTGTAAATTTTAATAATTTAATTTATGTCAATTGTACAAGGGAACAGAAGACATATTTTATGCCTATCAACTTTTGCCTGTTGAACACCAGATCAATAAATAGGAAAGAACTTTTTATTAATGATTATGTGTCTGAGAACGATATTGATATTCTAGCAGTGACTGAGACATGGTTACGTGAGGATGATAATGAATTTTCTACTGCTGAAATCTGCCCAACGGGGTATCACTTTTATCACATTACAAGGAAAAATACACGAGGTGGAGGAGTTGGTCTCTTACTGAAGAAATATATTAAAGTCAAAAAACAATTTCAGAGAAAATTCTCTTCTTTTGAATATATTGATGTCACCTTGAACTGCCGTAATACCTGCACCAGAATGATTGTCATTTATAGACCACCCCCATCGAAGACTAATAAATTAAGCAGCTCAATATTTTTTGAAGAATTCTGCATATTTGTGGAACAGTTGATCATATTACCTGGCAATATATTAATGGCAGGAGACTTTAATTTTCATATAGACAACATTGGAGATTCAGATACTATTAAATTCAACAAGATACTGGAATCGTTTAATTTACAACAGCACGTCAATGGGCCAACCCACAAGAAAGGCCACACCTTAGACTTGATTATAACAAGGAATGAAGATAAATTAGTGACTGGTATCAGAATACATGATCCAGTAATATCAGATCATCTTGCCATACATTGTACATTACAGTTAGAGAAACCACCATTAGAACAAGCTGAAATTTATTATCGAAAATTAAACAATGTAAACATGGATAGTTTCAATGAAGATCTAAAAGTACTAGATTTAAATGACGATTATGATCTTTCAGTCCTTATTGATAAATATGAAAATACGTTGAAAGAAACTTTACAGCAGCATGCTCCACAAAAACGACGAATTATAACTCTTCGTCCTTTATCACCATGGTACAATGAGGAGATTGGTCAAGAAAAAAGAAATCGCAGGAAACTAGAGCGCCGCTGGCGCGCATCTGGACTATGTATTGACAGACAGTTATATGTCAAACAATGTGAGACAGTGAATGCCATGATAAAGAATGCTAAGACAACATACTACTCATCGGTTATTTCCAGTAATGCACATAATCAGAAAGTGTTATTTAGTACGGTTGATAAATTACTCCATCGAAAGCCAGAAAAGCGCTATCCAACTGCGTCATCAACGACTGAACTTGTGAATAATTTTTCAGATTTCTTCAATAATAATATTGCTATTATATGAAAAGAACTAGCCATCGATTCTTCCCACTGTAATCAGCGAAATCAAGAGGAACAATATGCACAATGCGTTAAATTCATTAACTTTCAAGAAGTCACGGAACATGAGATTGAAAATGTTATTGATAAAGTTGGTAAAAAATCTTGTGAACTTGATCCAGTGCCCGCAAAAATCTTTCAAGGTTGTCAGAAGACTCTCTTACCTATAATTACTAAGATCAGTAATGAGTCACTTCAGTCAGGTTGTATGCCTGAGATACTAAAAGAAGCCGTGTTGAAACCAAAACTAAAGAAAGATTCGCTGGATTACGAAGAATACACAAATTTCCGACCTATTTCAAATTTAAAATTCCTGTCTAAAGTAATTGAGAAGGTTGCTGCCGGTCAGCTTCTGGAACACTTGGCTAATAACAAATTAGAAGAACCCTTCCAGTCGGCATATAAACGTTTTCATAGTGCAGAAACAACCCTATTAAAAGTACAAAACGATATTCTTGTAGCCATTGATAATCGTAAGTGTGTGGTGTTGCTATTACTAGATATGTCAGCAGCATTCGATACTGTTGATCACGAACTTTTACTACAACGAATGTTCAAAAGATTTGGGATAGATGGGCAAGTGTTGAGATGGTTTCAGTCCTATCTTCAGAATAGAACGCAAAGTGTAGTGATTGACGGTGTTAAATCTATCTCTAAAGACTTGCGCTGTGGAGTCCCACAAGGATCAGTTCTCGGCCCTATACTATATTTACTATACACCTCACCCCTTGGTGATATCATCAGAGGTCATGATCTTGATTTTCACTTTTATGCAGACGACTCGCAATTATATCTCGCTTTTGAGTCAACCACTGAAGGAAAAGCGGGAGCACTGGTACAAATCGAAATGTGTGTAAAGGAGATTGATTTGTGGATGGTCAAAAATAAATTAAAATTGAATGGGGACAAGACTGAGTTACTAGTAATCAATGCACGAAATCGTTTATGCCCTGCTGTACACCATATAGAAATATCTAAGTCAATAGTTCAACCAAGTACTTCAGCACGAAACATCGGTGTAACCTTCGATCAACACATGTCCATGGATAAACATATTACCAACATTTGCAAGAACTGTTTTTTCCATTTGAGAAAAATAGCAAGAATAAAAGAGTACTTATCAAAATCAGATATCCAAACCCTAGTTCATGCCTTTATTACATCGAAACTAGATAATTGCAACTCTTTGCTATACGGACTACCTAAATTTCTTATAGATCGATTACAGAATGTGCAAAACTGTGCTGCTCGTCTGGTGACAGGAAGCAGAAAATACGACCATGTTACTCCATTAATGAAACAATTACATTGGCTCCCCATCAGTCAACGCATCATCTATAAAATTGTTCTTATCACGTATAAATCTCTGAATGGCTCAGCTCCACATTACATTAATAATATGCTAAAACCTTACACACCATCAGCAAATTTACGCTCCTCATCCAAAGGATTGCTTACCATACCTTCAGTAAAACTAGTGAACTATGGTGAACGATCGTTCTCATATGCTGCACCGAAACTGTGGAACGAACTGCCAGAGTATATTAGAAAGAGTGAGACCTTGCCTATTTTTAAAACCAGATTAAAGACACATCTTTTTAGACAGTATTATGACTAAGTTATTATTTTAACAAGATTATTAGCAATTTTATAGTATTCTATATAGTTGTTGTTTTAATATTATCAACATAGATAACATAAAGTAATTTTATATTCTTAACGAGAAGAGCATATAATTATTTTTTAGTAATTTTATCTAGTATAGTAATTTTAGTAGTCAATGCATGCACTATGTTGTAACACTTAGTATATATTTTTAACACTTGATGTTAAGCGCTATTGAGCTATGGGAAATGGCGCTATATAAATGAATTATAATAATAATAATAATAATAATAATAATACCTGTATCTGTTCCTAAAGCAGACGAGGATAGTGAGTCTGTACATGAAGCAGAGGGACCAGACGTGAGTAGAAATGAATATTTACATGAGGGTGGTTGGCAAAATGTTGACAACCCTCTGCATGAGTTAGAGTTTGTACAAAATGAAATGCACAGTTTTCATTTAGATCAAGAACATTTAGAGCATCGACAATGTACAATGTGTAAAGAAGCTTGGCCGACACGCCAGAACTTGGCATCAGAAGTATACATTTGTTACCGGTGCAAAAGAGACAAGAAATCACCCAAGAAATTTAGTGCCGAGAATGACATGGACCCAGGAACAGTTCCTGCATGAACAATTGAGAGGTTTGACACAGGTAGAAGAAATGTTAATTTCAAGGGTTTGTCCCATTATGAGAGTGTATAGAAAGCATGGGGGTCAGAGGGGGTATAAAGGACATGTACTTAACTTACCTCAAGATATTCAAAGTTTCTTGAATAGGTTGCCTTCTCGTGTGGCAGACTTGCCTGTTTTGATTGTGCGAAGACATGGTGCAGAAGACACACTTTACTGTGCGTCGACACAAAGTTCTTGAGGCTGTGTTATGGTTAAAGACAAACAATCCGTTCTTTAAAGATATCGAAATTGATAGAGATGTCATCCAAAGTTTACCAGAAAATGGTATTCCCGATGAGCTAAGGTATGTCATTGATGAAAATGAGCTTTCGGTTCATGTTGAATATGAGGGGCCTCCCCAAAACCCAGTAATGTGTGCTAATGCAAGAGTGGAAGAGTTAGTTTTAGGAAATGGCAGTACATCGTTTATTCCTATGCGTCAAAGACAGAGAACAGAAGGTACAGCTATCCAAGACGCAGTAAAAGAGTAAATGAGGTTGATCGTTTAGACTGGCCATCTACTGAAGGTAATCTCGTTAATGAATTTAAAACAGATGGTTTAGCTACTATGGCCTTTCCTACATTGTTTCCTTAAGGGAAGTGTGACCCAACAAATAGGGCAAGACAACATGGTATAACGTTAACCGAAGCTTTCAAACATTTAATGAAGTTTGCAGAGAGGCTTGCAGATGGTAAGTTTGAATGGAGGTTTGCATCTCACCCACGGTTTCCTTATTGGGCGTTAAACATGAAATAACGGCATCAGCTGTTGTCACAAGCGAATGTTGACTTGCGTCAACATCCTGCTGATGCAGACATGACAATGGAAGAACTGAAACAGATGGTCAATTCCATGAGTACGAACCAAATGGTGAATAGGTTGCAACGCTATGTGTCCAAAGTACAAGGTACGAAACAGTATTCGTATTAGCGGCTGCAGGAATTGCTGGCCCTGATTGAACAAAAAGGCTGCCCTACTTTTTTCTTTACCTTTAGTGCAGCTGACATGCATTGGCCAGACTTACAGAGACTGTTGCAGAATGATGAAGGTGCAACCAGATCTGAGCGAGCACAAGCTGTACTCGACAATCCCCACCTAACTGATTGTTTTTTTATGCAGCGGCTGCAGGAGTTTGTCAGACATTGGCTTAATTGCATCTTGGATGCCGAGTGGCACTGGTATCGATTTGAGTACCAAGCTAGGGGAAGTATTCATTGCCACGGATGTGCAAAGTTAAAAAATGACCCTGATATTCGAAAATTACGTAATAAAGCATGTGTTGCATTCCTAGAGAGTGAGACAACAAGGTATGAAATGTTACCTGATGATTTTGAATTCCTTTGTGGGGATTTGATTCACAAAAGCAGAAGTAATGCTCACTTGCAACCTGTGGGCTGAAGTTGGTCTCTGCAATGGATCATTTGGCACTATCGAGCAGATTTGATTTGCAGAGAATATGGGTCCACTGAACCTGCCAATAGCAGTATTGGTACACTTCCATAGTTACTCTGGTCCTGCGTTCCTAGATGCATGTTCTAAATGTGTACCTGTGCCACCCAAAGTGTTTGAATGGGTGGCTGATGGAAAGTATCTGTCAAGGCAACAAGTGCCCTTGCGGTTGAGGTATGCAATGACTATTCATAAGTCACAAGGACAGACACTAACAAAAACTGTTGTTGATTTAGGTAAAGGAGAAAAAGTTGCTGGATGCACATTTGTAGCTACATCACGGGTGAGATCGATTCATGATATTGTGTTTGAACCAATGACATTTGATCGCCTGAAAGCAATTGGTAGGAGTAAAAATATGCAAAAACGACTCGAAGCTGAACAGCGACTTAATTTAAAGTGCTTGCAGAGCAAGCTTGTCCAAACATATAATAGGTCATGAGTTGTCATAAGTTGAAGAGTTGTGGTGTTCAAGCACCAGTATAGTATACTGGGCACATATACTGTGCTTTCGAGGTTATTTCTCCTGTTACTAGGCACAATTATAAAGGTGTAGTCTATGCCTCTATTATTGTGTTTTTGAGGAAGGCATTCAGGGAGTTTGTCATTGCCTGTTACCTAGACATAATATTATATATTATGTTTTTGAGGTTGGCTGCATGTTGAGATACCTGTACTTAATATTAAATAATATTATGACGTATATATACTATAAATTTAAAACTTTGTCTTTGTGTTCTACATAATATTTTATATCTTTAGAAATTGAGCCAAATTCATATAAAGGTATGATTTTTCTCCTGTTTTGAGTAACTATTCTATTGATAAAACAGTTCCCTTCAGATCAAGACTACAAGGAAACGAGTAAAAAACGTGAGTTGAAAATCCAATTTAAAACGAAATGAGTGCAAAAATATTTGTACTGATTATTGTAAGAGTAATATTTCAAAACCCTACGAACAGTCGAAAATTCGAAATGGGAATAATGGAAGAAATAACCAGGATTTTCGTACGGAATCATGGGGAAGAGACAAAATAGGGTGGTTCCAATTTTATTATTATGAAATCATGTAATGAGTGCTGAAAAAGATGCAAATAGTCCCTCGAGAGATACTAAGAATACGGAACGAACTCGATCTGTAAATTTTAATAATTTAATTTATGTCAATTGTACAAGGGAACAGAAGACTTATTTTATGCCTATCAACTTTTGCCTGTTGAACACCAGATCAATAAATAGGAAAGAACTTTTTATTAATGATTATGTGTCTGAGAACGATATTGATATTCTAGCAGTGACTGAGACATGGTTACGTGAGGATGATAATGAATTTTCTACTGCTGAAATCTGCCCAACGGGGTATCAGTTTTATCACATTACAAGGGAAAATGCACGAGGTGGAGGAGTTGGTCTCTTACTGAAGAAATATATTAAAGTCAAAAAACAATCTCAGAGAAAATTCTCTTCTTTTGAATATATTGATGTCACCTTGAACTGCCGTAATACCTGCACCAGAATGATTGTCATTTATAGACCACCCCCATCGAAGACTAATAAATTAAGCAGCTCAATATTTTTTGAAGAATTCTGCATATTTGTGGAACAGTTGATCATATTACCTGGCAATATATTAATGGCAAGAGACTTTAATTTTCATATAGACAACATTGGAGATTCAGATACTATTAAATTCAACAAGATACTGGAATCGTTTAATTTACAACAGCACGTCAATGGGCCAACCCACAAGAAAGGCCACTTAGACTTGATTATAACAAGGAATGAAGATAAATTAGTGACTGATATCAGAATACATGATCCAGTAATACCAGATCATCTTGCCATACAATGTACATTACAGTTAGAGAAACCACCATTAGAACAAGCTGAAATTTATTATCGAAAATTAAACAATGTAAACATGGATAGTTTCAATGAAGATCTAAAAGTACTAGATTTAAATGACGATTATGATCTTTCAGTCCTTATTGATAAATATGAAAATACGTTGAAAGAAACATTACAGCAGCATGCTCCACAAAAACGACGAATTATAACTCTTCGTCCTTTATCACCATGGTACAATGAGGAGATTGGTCAAGAAAAAAGAAATCGCAGGAAACTAGAACGCCACTGGCGCGCATCTGGACTATGTATTGACAGACAGTTATATGTCAAACAATGTGAGACAGTGAATGCCATGATAAAGAATGCTAAGACAACATACTACTCATCGGTTATTTCCAGTAATGCACATAATCAGAAAGTGTTATTTAGTACGGTTGATAAATTACTCCATCGAAAGCCAGAAAAGCGCTATCCAACTGCGTCATCAACGACTGAACTTGTGAATAAATTTTCAGATTTCTTCAATAATAAGATTGCTATTATATGGAAAGAACTAGCCATCGATTCTTCCCACTGTAATCAGCGAAATCAAGAGGAACAGTATGCACAATGCGTTAAATTCATTAACTTTCAAGAAGTCACGGAACATGAGATTGAAAATGTTATTGATAAAGTTGGTAAAAAATCTTGTGAACTTGATCCAGTGCCCGCAAAAATCTTTCAAGGCTGTCAGAAGACTCTCTTACCTATAATTACTAAGATCAGTAATGAGTCACTTCAGTCAGGTTGTATGCCTGAGATACTAAAAGAAGCCGTGTTGAAACCAAAACTAAAGAAAGATTCGCTGGATTACGAAGAATACACAAATTTCCGACCTATTTCAAATTTAAAATTCCTGTCTAAAGTAATTGAGAAGGTTGCTGCCGGTCAGCTTCTGGAACACTTGGCTAATAACAAATTAGAAGAACCCTTCCAGTCGGCATATAAACGTTTTCATAGTGCAGAAACAACCCTATTAAAAGTACAAAACGATATTCTTGTAGCCATTGATAATCGTAAGTGTGTGGCGTTGCTATTACTAGATATGTCAGCAGCATTCGATACTGTTGATCACGAACTTTTACTACAACGAATGTTCAAAAGATTTGGGATAGATGGGCAAGTGTTGAGATGGTTTCAGTCCTATCTTCAGAATAGAACGCAAAGTGTAGTGATTGACGGTGTTAAATCTATCTCTAAAGACTTGCGCTGTGGAGTCCCACAAGGATCAGTTCTCGGTCCTATACTATATTTACTATACACTTCACCCCTTGGTGATATCATCAGAGGTCATGTTCTTGATTTTCACTTTTATGCAGATGACTCGCAATTATATCTCGCTTTTGAGTCAACCACTGAAGGAAAAGCGGAAGCACTGGTACAAATCGAAATGTGTGTAAAGGAGATTGATTTGTGGATGGTCAAAAATAAATTAAAATTGAATGGGGACAAGACTGAGCTACTAGTAATCAATGCACGAAATCGTTTATGCCCTGCTGTACACCATATAGAAATATCTAAGTCAATAGTTCAACCAAGTACTTCAGCACGAAACATCGGTGTAACCTTCGATCAACACATGTCCATGGATAAACATATTACCAACATTTGCAAGAACTGTTTTTTCCATTTGAGAAAAATAGCAAGAATAAAAGAGTACTTATCAAAATCAGATATCCAAACCCTAGTTCATGCCTTTATTACATCGAAACTGGATAATTGCAACTCTTTGCTATACAGACTACCTAAATTTCTTATAGATCGGTTACAGAATGTGCAAAACTGTGCTGCTCGTCTGGTGACAGGAAGCAGAAAATACGACCATGTTACTCCATTAATGAAACAATTACATTGGCTCCCCATCAGTCAACGCATCATCTATAAAATTGTTCTTATGACGTATAAATCTCTGAATGGCTCAGCTCCACATTACATTAATAATATGCTAAAACCTTACACACCATCAGCAAATTTACGCTCCTCATCCAAAGGATTGCTTACCATACCTTCAGTAAAACTAGTGAACTATGGTGAACGATCGTTCTCATATGCTGCACCGAAACTGTGGAACGAACTGCCAGAGTATATTAGAAAGAGTGAGATCTTGCCTATTTTTAAAACCAGATTAAAGACACATCTTTTTAAACAGTATTACGACTAAGTTATTATTTTAACAAGATTATTAGCAATTTTATAGTATTCTATATAGTTGTTGTTTTAATATTATCAACATACATAACATAAAGTAATTTTATATTCTTAACGAGAAGAGCATATAATTATTTTTTAGTAATTTTATAGTATAGTAATTTTAGTAGTCAATGCATGCACTATGTTCTAACACTTAGTATATATTTTTAACACTTGATGTTAAGCGCTATTGAGCTATGGGAAATGGCGCTATATAAATGAATTATAATAATAATAATAATAATAATAAAGACTACAGGGACCGGTTGTACGAAGCCTATTAAACGAAGGCCGGATTGCGCTATCCACCGGATAGAGATTTTTTCAAGCTTTGTTAAATTAGTCGTTGATTGGTATTAAAGTTTAGTGTTTATAAATTAAATGTTTTTTATACTTTTTGTGTGTCGTCTCTACCCGTAGTTTCACAGTTTTTCAAGCATTTTATAAAGTTTGAAAAACTCACTATCCTGTGGATAGCGCTATATCTGACCTTCGTACAACCGGGCCCAGAATAATAATATTCAAGACACTCAAGATCACTCTTCGTGGATATTGCGTGTGTTACTATGGTTACCGAAAATTCACACGCAACATCCACGTAAATACGAAGCGCGCGAAATTTTGGTTTTTGGCTTTTTTGTGAGGCAGTATAAGCTGACAGTAAGTTTTTTTCCGAAAAAAAAACAACTTTAAAATTTGTTCAAGTTTTTTGAACATATACTGTATCTTTGAACGAAAAATAATTACACTACTATTTGTAGAATATATATGTTTTGGGCAAAAATAACTTCATTTACTGAGTTTGTCACAACAAAAAAGTTTTTCGTGTTTTTTAACAGTTTTTTTTGTTTTTTACAGATATTTAAAATAATTTGGCGGAAAGGTACGACTATATTTTAAAATTATTTATAGTATGCTTCTTAGCTGATGTTAAACAGCCTTTCCTTCATGGCCAAAAACATTCCTGTTCAATATCAAGATAAAAATTTATTCAATATTAGTTTTAATACATGCACTGGAAGTGGAGATGTTGTATTTTATTAATGATTTCCTTTAATATTTTCTTTTATAATTATAGCAAAGATTTAACAACCACAAAAGCAAGTTGCTCCAATTTTTTGAATAAGCGAATAAAACCATATTGAACATATACGTGTAGGTGTAGCTTGGACTTATAAACTTAGCTATTTCAACTAATCCCTATATTATATCTATTTTATTTTTGGTGGAATTACCAGAACTGGACGACTCTGCTATTCTTGGTATGCATATTACAATAAATATGCGGTATAATATCTACTTTTTGGTTTTATATAAAGCAACATTCGTTCTAGCTGGTTGGACCTCACATAAAATTAAATGGACTTACAACTAATATTAAATAGTTGTGAACAGAGGCCAGCTGTGACCAATTGTTTGCTTACAGTTGTACAGAGGTATATTTGTAACCTCGAGGTATATTTGTGAGCTCGAGGTATATTTTTGTGACCAATATTCCAGTGACCATGCAGAGGTAAAGTTGTGATCAATTGCTTGGCGAAAACCCTCTTGGCCGGCCACAATGAAATATTCTCTCATGTAAACATGTTAAAATTCAACCCAATTACCCAGTGAGTACCATGTAGTTGTAGATTATCTTCTCCTACAGTAGCTACAATGTAATAAAGTGTATACTGACAATTTCATTTTACAGAGCAGCGTTATAACATTCTACGGATTATCAATTTGCAATATCATGCATGTGACACAGTAACCTCATCTTTAACCTTCTAACACAACATCTTTTATTTTAGACGTTCATGTTGATGATGGTAAGAATTCAGTTATATATTTAAAACACAAATTCTTAAAGCTAGGTCATTCTGTTTGAGAAATAATAAAATCTGAAGTACTCAATTGACAAGAAAGGATTAACTTTCAATTATTTTCTCCATGGTAGAGTTGTGAATGTTTTCTAGAATAATATAATAATGATTAATAATTAAGAATATATTATGTACAATATATTACAGATTAAGTATATTACAGATTTCTTATGAATATTTGCAACATTTTTTTCTAATTAACTATAGAAAGTGAAGTCGAAGAGGATGAAGGAGAGGTCCAGCCATGTAAGTTAACTTTATTAAACAATATGTTCAGTATGGTTCAATCATACTTATAATTATATTATTACTTCTACAATAAGGTGCTGATTTTATTTCAGTGAATGAACAACCTCGACAAGAAGATGCAAATGGTATGGTTCTAATGTTGATATACTTACATACCTATATCTGTGATATGTAATTTGGTCTAACTACAGTTAGTACTATTTTTTTAGTTCAAGAACGACAACAACGTCCACGGCACATATATACAAACTAATTCAAACTAATCATATATATATACATATATACATATACATATATATATATATATATATATATATATATATATATATATATATATATATATATATATATATATATATATATATATATATATATATATATATATATATATATATATATATATATATATATATATATATATATATATATATATATATATATATATTTAACACATTTTATAACGTTTTACACCCATTAAACATAGCCATTTTTTGTATATTTTGCGAGGTTTCGAAAAGGGGTCGCTTAAAAAATTCCATAATAAAATAACAATTACACTTAAGATCGTGATAACAGTCTGATAGTAAACTCTAATAGTACCTTGAAACATGTTAGGAATATGGGGTTCATCGGTTTCATATTTATCCGTCAGTCCTTTCATAAAGTTGGGTTAAATGTCAGCTGGTTTGAGCGTGAAAATTACCTCATTGCCCGCGAAATCAAGATTTTGTAAAAATCTTACGAAAAAGGAATCGCAGCAGCTTTTTAGTATTTTTTCCATTGTAGGAACACTAAATGGGTTGATTTGGTGAAATAAAAAAAAATTCGATTTTTTTCATTTGACTTGAGATTCTCGGTTTTTACAGGCAGTTGCTCTTAAGATATTTAATTTCTAAAAAAATGTTAGGAGGTATTAAGTAGTCCACTTCTTATATAAAAGCTTTCTTACTGAATTTTTAAACATTTTCATGATCAGACCAGAAATATCTTTCATCTCTTTCGGTCATATATTATATGGCATATGGTAATGAAGGTCATAGGGGAGAAAGTGGTGACCATGCTTGCAGTTAAGTGATGAGGATGAAAGTGACGAGGACGAAATCACCCATGCATGCTGTACCATTCAAGTGCACCGGTGTTGCTCATGAGAAAAACTACCAACATTATTTGGAACAGGCATCCCTTGCTCTCCATGCATGGAAAAGATAAACCAGTGAATGTAAGAATACGGCCAGACTCATTGAATCCATGCAATGGATCCAAGTGCAATTGCAATTGGTTAGATTGTTTCTGAACTATTCGAGTATTTGCAGCCACTAATTGTCGCAGGAGATATCTTACAGGTCTATGTTCAGCATATCAAGTATAGGGTTGGCTTTTTTAAATAGGATTTTATCCAAACATTTTCATAAAGTGACGTGGTGAGTGTTAGACTCAAGGGGTAAGGAAGAGCATGAGTGTACGTTGACAGATGTTTGTGATATAATAGCAACTGACTAGCTAGTTACTGATATAATAGCAACTTTTTAGATTATTTGCAGCATTTTTAAACAAAAACTAGGTTAATCATAAGTGGGTGCAATTAAAACAATATCTGTCATGCACACTCATGCAATTAAGTACATAATTGTAACATGTGCTGTACTAAATGAATAAATAAATAGTTTATACATTCACTTGACCAAATTTGTAAGTAATTTTTCATTAAAAATAATGCAACAATAAAACAAAAATATGTCTATTTATATACATATTGATCAAAGGTCCCACAATAACATGCTGCTAAAACTTTGTGAATTGTGGTACATTACATGAGAATACAAAAAAAAAACTGCATATAATTGCACCTATCAAAGTTAAGCCTATGTGGGGTATTTGATCATCAATTGCATCCCCACCCTGGGGGATTTTCATTAGCATTTTGGGCCCAAGTTAGGGTAATTTGAACCAAAATTACTTTTATTAATATAGTATTTATTGCAATTTATTGCAAAATGGTGGGGTATTTGACCAATACTTATTGCCCGACAGTGGGGCATTTGATTGAAAATTTGCTGAAAAAATCAAATGCCAAACATATGCCCGAACCCCCTCTCCCTCTTTGGGGCTTAACATTGAAAGAACCACCATTTCTCAAACTTTATCTGAATTAGTTGTGTAACAGCATTACAAAATACTGTTAAAAAAAGGCCAAGTGGCCCTTCACTGCTATAAAGGGCATTCTATCCAATGGCATTCTTGGACCAACATCTCTATATGGCGTTGTTCTCCAAAGCATCGAGCAGCGCGATAATCAGATTGTCTTTTTGACCAGCATGAAGTACCGATACAGCCTTGGCAACAAGTGGGGGGAATTTTGAGGGACAAATTTAGCATCTAAACCAGGGTTAACTTTTACCAGCCATTTTTGAGACAGGTGGATGAGTAGTTGTTCTCGTTGTTGCTGAGTTAGTTTTGAAAATCAAGAGTATCAATAGCATTACCAGGGAGGTGAACAAGGTCTTGGTCACTTGATGGAGGCAATCTTAGCATCGGAGATCTTGCAGATGTCGAAGGTCTGTACAGATTGGAATTAAGGACCGGTATTACCTCCAAATTTAATGATGATGCTTAATTCTTGCAGACAAAATCATTGACAGAAATAGACTCCAGCCAATATCACGAATCTCGAATCTAAAACATCAGCCAAACAATAAATTGTACTTATAAAATATTGTTACAGAAGTGCTTTAATTATTTACATATACATATTTATATATATTCCGTATAATAGGTTAATTGCAAGTAATAATAAACCAGACTGGTCTGATAGTTTAGAGATTATTGCCCTCGAATTGGAATTGATAAACTCCAAGAAATGTCTTGTGTGTGTTTGTTACCGACCACCTAGCTGTAACTTAGTTGAATGGCTCCATTTGTTCACGGCATTTTTGGATGAAACCACCCACTACGACAAAGTTTTAATCTCTGGTGATTTTAACTTCCCCGATCTAACTTGGAACTCGAACTTTGTGCCTGTTATTTCAGAAAGAATTATTTCTGCTGGGTCTTCTGAATTCAGAGAACTAAGTTATGATTTTTTCTTACATCAAGTGAATATGTATCCGACCAGAGTTAACAACATTTTGGACCTTGTGCTAACAACCACTCCTGACAACATTGTTAATATGTCTTGTGTTTCAGCCAACACAATGGACCTCTCTAGTGACCACCACCTAATGTTCTTCGACTTTTTACTACATGTAAAATTAACAGGACTTGACAGGAGAACTGTGTTCAACTTTCACTTGGCTGACTGGAATGGGCTACAAAGAGCACTTGATCAGTATGATTTATCACCTAGTAAGTCCACTGATATCAACACTGATTGGGAGCAATGGAAAGATTTTTTCCTCAGTGTTGCTGCTGAGCATATCCCACTCAAAACATTTAAGCGGCGTAACACTCCTCCGTGGTTTGATGGTGAAGTGAGGCGTCTTCTCTCAAAAAAGGACTCGTGCAGGAGAAAAGCCAAAACGTACGTCGTGTCCTAGACTCTGGGAAAAATTTCGTATACTTCGACGATCAGCTAAGTCTTTAGTTAGAGCCAAACGTACGCAGTACTTTCACTCTCTTCCATCATTGTTAAGGTCAAACAGCAAAAAGTTCTGGTCAGTGTTTAAATCCACTTCTAAACACTCGAACATTCCTGGAAAAATGACATGGACTCGACAGGACTCTTCTTCCACAACAGCTGAGACTCCAATCGACATAGCCAACCTGTTAAATCGTTATTTCTACTCTGTGTTTAATCCGTCATGCGATTCCACTCATGGCCTTCCCATTCCTGTCGACGATAATTCGATTAATCTGACAACCATCGCAGATCTTGAGTTAACTGAAGGAGAAGTATGCTCTGTACTAAGAACTCTCGACGTTGACAAAGCAACTGGTCCTGACAAAATACCGGCGGTATTGCTAAAAAACTGCGCAGCTAGCGTCAGTCCATCTTTATGTGAACTTTTCAACAAGAGTTTATCTTGTGGAAAACTGCCGCAGGAGTGGAAACTGTCCAATATTAGTCCAATTCCAAAGAAAAATCCTTCACATGAAGTCTCGAACTACAGACCAATATCACTTTTGTCTTTGGTCTCAAAGGTGTTTGCACGTTGTATCTACAACAGAATAATTGACCACCTCTCAAATCAACTCTATTGCCTACAATACGGTTTTCAAAGCGGCAAGTCTACAACATCACAAATGCTATATGTTCTTCGCGAGATCCACAACATCTTAGAGAAAAGAGCTCAAGTTGACACTGTCTATCTTGATTTCGCGAAAGCTTTTGACAAAGTCAGCCATGATCTCTTACTCGTGAAGCTTCACAACTTTGGCATCAGAGGAAATCTTCTTCGCTGGTTCGGGGACTATCTTTCTGGGCGATTACAGAGAGTTACTGTTCTTGGTGTAACATTTGAACCACTTCCAGTGCTATCTGGAGTTCCTCAGGGATCAATCCTTGGACCACTCCTTTTCCTTATTTATGTGAACGATCTTCCCAAGGCTACCTCATTCGATACTACCGTGACAATGTTCGCAGACGACACCAAATGCCACCGCCCTCTTCGAAATTTCCAAGACACCAAAATTCTGCAACAAGACCTGGATAAGATTACCAACTGGTGTCATGATTGGAGGATGGATTTAAATCAAACCAAGTGTGTAGTCATGCATTTTTCCCGAATTCTTCGACCGACGATCACACAGTACACTCTATCAGGTACTCCAGTCCAACAATCGTCCAGTCAAAAAGATCTTGGCATAATTACCACTAGCGATCTAAAATGGAACAAGCAGGTGCAAGAGATATCGACCAAAGCTAACAAAATGTTAGGTTTCGTCAAGCGAACAGCGTTCGATATTCGGCAGCGACAACTTCGTAAGGTTCTTTACTTGACTATGGTCCGTAGTCAGCTGGCTTATGGTAGTCAAGTGTGGGCACCCCAGACGGTCAACAACATCATGATCGTTGAACGTGTGCAGCGCCATGCCACTAAATTTATTTTGGCATTGCCATACCAAACAGACATCTCGTACAAGGAACGATTGATCACCATCGGCATCATCCCTATATGTTACTGGCATGAGTATTTGGATCTGGTGTATCTGTACAAGTGCATCATTTCTAACTCTGACAGAAACATCTCCATCAAGACTCCTGCTCGAGAAACACGAAATACCAACGCAACCAATGGCATTTTACTCGAAGTAGCCAAGTATAAGACAGTGAGCTATCAAAACAGCTTCTACATCAGAGTTGCCAATGTGTGGAACACACTCCCCTACTCGATCAGAGAAGCCAACAAAACCGTGGTCTTTTTTAAATTTTGTTTAATGAAACATTATAATAATCTCACTAAGGAAATTTACAATCTCGAAGATCTGAGAACATTTAAGTCTGTTTGTGTGAAGTGTCACACAACTCGCCCATTGAGCAGCTTGTCCAATCGATCTTGTTGCTAAATTTATTCATGTCTGTCTGTTTGTCTGTAAGTTTGTTATTGTTTATACTTGTATTTTAAATGTTTTGGAATGCCGTTATTGGAGATCGAACTAATAATCTCTGTGTGGTAATTCCAGCCATGTAGCCTATTTTGTAATTAATTTTATGTAATATAGTGTATTGTGTTCAATGGCAAAATCTGTAAAAAAAATGTAAAATATACTTTAACTGCAATATATACACTCCATAATATATCGAAACTTCTATAGTATTAAAGTATATCACATTTCTTTGGAAAAAAGTGAGTATAGCAGTTCATTATCGATCTGAGCGACAAGGCAGCATATTTTACAAAGGGCTATATTCAACGGTGAATATCTCGAAAACGATTGCGTGGTTGGGGACGGTTGGATAGAATAAAAGATTGTACTTTTTTAACTAATCGTGAAAAAAATAGCGAAATCGAACCATGGAAATTTGAGATTTTTGTCTTCAAAATATTGTTTAAAGAAACGACATTAAATTACATCGCGACGGCATAGCGCCTAAGTGAGAGGTCAAAATTAACTGGAAAATGACGCTTACCTTTCAAGATACTGTTCCAATGGGTAGACTGACTGTTGTAAATATAGTTCCCCAAGAAATTTGCCAAGAAATTCCCCAAGAAATGTGCATAACAATATGAAAAAATCGATATTTATGGGCCCTATGTAAATTTTCGGTAACACAAGCTTGATGCGAGATTTTCGCCCAGATTCGCCTAATAGGTTGTCCGACCTCCTCTGGGCAGAGCTAGATCTTTTAAAAACTTGAATGTCATAACTGCGTCGTTATAACGCAGCATATAACAAACAGGTAACCAGATAAGTTGACGCAATGCAGGGGTTATACGGTCATATTTATGCGTTCCAGGAACGATTCTCGCAGCAAAGTTTTGCACACTTTGTAGTTTGGCGATGTTTTTGTTGGAAGCGTTCGCCCACACAGATGAGGAGTAGTATAATTTGCTGAAAATTGAAGCGTTTATTAGCCTACCGTTTTCAGATAGTACAATCGCCTAAAATATATGTTAAATAATTCTATTTATTTGACACCGAGACTGACATGCATTTTGAAAATAATTTTGTTATGTTCTCGTCATAACTCATGCAGTCATTCATCCAATTCCATCCTCAGAGTTCCCCAGGTCCTTTACAGAAGACACCGGTTGTGTTTTTTTATCAAGAAAAGTCACTCGACTAATGAAAACAACTGCGAGCAGTGGTAAAAAAGTCCGAAGATTCGGCGCAAGCTGAACATTTCTTGTTATGATACTGAATATATAACATCATAAGTTGACAACATAATTAACCGATGACAACCGTGCATAGTGCATGCGCATATATTCACCAACATTAACTTTGCTAGCGTGTACACGCCGGGTCAGCAAGCAATGATTTTCGGCAGTTTGCATGTCATTAAAAATTGCGCGAATTTTCCGTGTTTTACCAAGGAGAATGGTAACGAATTAATTAGTCATCGTTTTTTCTTTCGCTGAGGCTCATGGTATTGTCTGGGTCGAAAGTGAACAGCAAATATGGAAAGGAGATGCTTCAAGGATCATTTTAATACCAAATAGTGGCCGTAAACCCACGAGAAATAATAGAATATTTCGCCTTTTTGAGGACTAAAATGGACGATACTGCACAGTTTGTGAAATTCAACTAGTTTTCTCTCGGATAAAATTTGGCATCCTTTGTCAATCCTTGAAGAATTGTATTTGTAAAGCAACTTAAGACCTCTGGTGAGCATCGTATGATTTTTGTTTGTAAAATTTTGTCTCCGTTTGAGAGTAACAGGACCTGATACTTAGTTGTTTTCCTTGTGTTATTCATAAAGGATTCGCAGATGCACAGAAGTCGCATTTAAAAGATTTCCAAAGAAAATGCCTAATACCAAAGATAAACGTTTTAACATTGCAATGTATATGAAAGAAAGGAAAGAAGCAAGGTTTAAAGCTGTTCTAAATCATCGATCGCTAGCGTTGGAGCACAAGAAAAGCGAGAGAATTCAAGCCAAGGTATAGTAACCTAAGCAATGTATTTGTTATTCAGATATTAACATTCTATTTACTATCAGTAAATGTTTAACTTTGTTATTAATATAAACATTTACCTTTATGCAGATTGTAAAAGCAAAGGAAAAAACAGCTGCTTTGACATCTGATTTGGAAAACAATATGGTGAGTTTCTGCGACAAATCAAATCATGTGGTATAGTAGGATTAAACCCATTAAGCCGTAATATGTCTATATTTTGTTATTTTACTCTGTCTAATGCCAGATGATTTTACTCATCAAGGTGAAAATATTGGACATTAACCCATTATGCCCCAGCGCTCTCCCCTTGACTAGGAAAATCGTCTGGCATTAGACAGAGTAAAATACTAAAGTAGATGCATCAGGGTGCAATGCGACTCAATGGGTTAACTAGACACATGGGCAGATAGGCCAGTTAACACATTAAGCGCCAGCGTTTTCCCCTTGACGAGTAAAATCGTCTGGCGTTAAACAGAGTAAAATACTAAACTAAGGTGCATCAGGGTGCAATGCGACTCAATGGGTTAACTGGTAAATTACAGAAGCATATTTTGGTTCATCTATGCATTTTACAATTTACATTATAATATAGCATTTGTAAATTCTGAACGCTGATTGGCTAAGAGCCGTGTTGATATAACTCAATGTCAACACGGGAAATTTTCCGCCGCTTGTAAACACGGAATTTTTTCCTATCCTTCGGGCTTTTGACATTGCTATATTATAAAAAAATATAAAACATTTTTTCCGTGTTGATATATAGTTATATCAACACTCGTGGAAGTTGGGAAAACTCGAAATTGTATGGAAACACGATGCCTGAAGGGCGTGTCCCAATTCCACTCGTGTTGATATAAATGTATATCAACACGGAAAATGTTTTATATTTGTTAAATAACAGTCAACTATTTACATGCACAGGTAATATATACTGTAAATTTAAGTAATGATATAAAAGATTCTGGACTTTCATGCAAGAAATACCCCGTCAGATAAACAATTATGATTTTCGAACACTTTTTTCAGGTTTTTTACAATTTTATTATTTAACGACAATACCAGTACTGCTAATATATTGCCTGCCTGTGCAGTTCAACTATTTTGGCCTTGTTATTTTGGCTCGGCAACAATGGCTTCAATTACCTCTAGTATAATTTGTTCGTGATGGTAAGTGGGATTTGAGATGGGCCGTGACCATTTGATGATCCTAATTAATTTGTATTGTTATCCCTGTAATTCTGAGACAAGAACAAGAAAAGCTACGACATTGGAGAATGGGGTATCAAATATGCCAGTTCGAACAGCAACAAAAAGGAGGCGGGAAACCATGACAGCGGTATCAGCAATCCATGGTGCATCCAAAAAGAATTTAAAGCCTGCTTATGATGGGATGTTCGACACCCTCCAGAAACGATGCAAGATGAAAGATTTAACAAATTATGTATTAAGTAATGAGAATTTAACTAAAACTGTAGTTTCTGAACATTACAAAAAAGAGTTGAAAGATTTTGAAAAATCAAAAGAAAATGCGGAAAGGAGTATTGCTACATTTTACTCAAGTGGTGTCATGGGCAAGAGAAAATATCAAAGTGTTAGGCTTGTGCTTTCAATGACATCAAGCGAACAAGGTGGGAGAACGGGCATATCAATTTTTCCAGGCTGCAAGGTACCCAAAATATTAACATATAATAACCTTGTAAGAGAGTTGAACAAAATTGATATTGGAAATGTTTTGGAAATCAATAACGAGTACCTCAGTGACTTAGAAATAGATGCACCCATCAATGGCGCATACAGAGATCTAAGAGAGTACTTGCCACGTTTAGCTAAGTTCTATTTGAGTACCGATAGAAAACATGCTTTAGAATGGTACGGTAAAACTGAGGGTACATTTTTAATAGCACTAGGAGGGGATGGTTGCCCATTTGGGAAACATGAAAGTGCCTGTTCATTTTTAGTTAGTTTCCTTAATGTTGGTCGAAAGGTAGCATCAAGTCATGATAACTTTTGCATTTTTGGGGCTAATTGTGACGAGACCTCTCAAGTTGTAAAAAAATATGTGAGGTCTCTAGTTCATCAGATTGCTGAGTTGGACAAAAAGATTTTCCAAATTGATGACTGGGTCACAATTACCTTTAAAGCGCAAGAACTTCCTAATGACATGAAGATGCTCGCCATGCTTGCAGGGGAACTTGTCATTAGTTCTAAGTACTTCTCCCCCTTTGCCAATGTTTGCA